CCCCCCCCCCCCCCCCCCCCCCCCCGAAAAAAAAAAAAAGGTAAAAAAAACGAAAACTAGAGACCAAACTTCACTGATTTTTATAGACCAACATCCAGCTCGAGGACTCTGCAAATTGCTAATGATGCGGATTCCTTATTGTAATCATTTTGGTTGCTTTCAATAATCAATCCATTTGAAAATTGAAATCAGTTAGTGAACTACTAACAATTTTCTCTTTCTTTCTTTCTTTCTTTTTCTTTTCTTTCTTTTTTTTTCCCTTCTTTTTACCCCTTTATCAAACATCGAACTAGCAAGTTTCTCAACCAAGCACACCTTACTTTCTAATGCAAGGAAGCACATCGTATTTCTCTCCAATGTCGAGGCAGTCACAGGACTTTGCATGCATAGGTGTTGAGTCTGTTGACTAATGGTTGACAATAGTCGACAAATGATTGACAAAGAGTTCACAAATGGTTGACGAACACTACAGGAGGTTCAGAAATATGTGATGGACATTTGACGAATGGTTAACAAACAGTTGATGAATGTTCAACAAATGGTTGACGAATGACCGATGAATGGTCGACGAATGGTCGACAAATGGTTGGCGAATGGTCGAATGGTCGACGAATGGTTGACGAATGGTCGACGAATGGTCGACGAATGGTCGATCAATGTTTGACACACAGCGGACGAATGGTTGACGGAGACTGATGGTGGTTGACGGATGGTTGGCGAATAGTTGACAAACAGTTGACGAATGGTTGACGAATAGTCAACAAATGGTTGTCAAATGGTGCACGAATAGTTCACAACTTCACAAATGATTGGCAAATAGTTCACGAATGGTTGACGAACACTACACCGACTACAGGTGGCCGACAAATGGTTGATGAATAGTTGACGAACGGTTGACGAAGAGTCGACGTGACGAACACTACAGGTGGTGGTTCGTTGACGAACGGTTGACGAATAGTTGATGCATGGTTGACGAACAGTTCATGAATAGTTGATGAATGGTCGTCGAATTGTTGAGGAACAGTCGGCAAATGGTTGAAGAATAGTTGATGACTGGTCTACGAATAGTTGACAAATGGTTGACGAAACACTACACTTCTTCCCCTCAAACCTATAGAGGTTTAGAGATAACATGACAGGTTGCTATTCAGCTTGGCAATAAACTCGTATACCTCCTGCACTCGAGACAAGAAACTTTGCGCCCCTTGTCGTACAATTCAATTACCTATACTTTGGTGACCTGCAGTACAATTCAATATTTAGCGTGATAGTCAAAGCTTTTAGCGCTGTTTGATGAGCCAGCGTATTTACTATTCATGAACTATTCCGTCCGTTTGGCGAAAATGATATACTTCTCTCAATGTTATCATCCTTCCTGCCACTTAGCGCTCATCATCCCGTTGCTTTGTTAGCCCTCACCTCGAACGGACGCTGTTCCACAACAAACAGGATAGATGGGATCCGGTCCTCCACGACAAACAGATTTGATAAGAGGATTCCAACCCCCTTACCTCCCTCTGCTCACGCACAGCAAGCAGCTACAGATGTCAAATAACAAATGATGATCAGTCGATGTCAACGAAATACAGATCCACTTCCTCCCCTTTCCACGATCATCCAACTCGAACAAGATTGACAGGAACAAGATATGATCCTCCACAACAAACAGGCTCGACGGGATTGGATCCGCTTACCTCGATCTGCCGACTGGCCGCAATCAACTACAGATGTCAAATAAAGTTGACGTCAACAAATTACAGATTCCACTTCCGCCCTTCCAAGACCATCAAACTCGAACAGGATCGACATATGATCTGATCCTCCTCTTACCCCCCTCCACCCACTGGCAGCGATCAGCTGCGGATGTCAAATAGCAAATGTATGGTCAGTTAACGTCCACAAACTACAAATCCACTTCGTCCCCTTTCCATGTCAAATAGCAAATGGTCAGTTACCGTCCACAAACTACAAATCCACTTCGTCCCCTTTCCATGATCATCATCAAACTGAAACAGGATTGGCAGGATATGAGCCTCCACAGCAAACAGGCTTGGCGGCGGTCACCGATCAGCTACAGATGTCAAATAAAGTTTGACGTCAACAAATTACAGATTCACTTCCTCCTTTTCCACGACAATCAAACTCGAAGTCCGGACAGGATCGACAGGATTTGATCCTCTCACCTCGCACTCTGCCCCCCCCTGGCAACAACCAGCTATAGATGTCAAATAATTAATCATCAGTTGATGTCAACAAATTACAGATCCACTTCCTCTACTTCCTCCCTTCCATGGTCATCAAATTGAATGGCACATCAACCAAAGACATTACGAGCAAAGGATTTCGGGATTCGATCCTCTTACCTCACTCTGTTAACTGCTGATGGTCAGCGGTACGAACGACAACGACAAATGTGGACGGACCGGTGGAACGATCCAATGAGGCCATGGACGGACCGGTGGAACGATCCAACGAGGCCGGTCTGTCCACATTATAGTCACAGTTGAACAGATGTGTGAGAGAAGCACAAGCAGAACGCAACCACGCTCACAGTTTGGTGAAGCTGAAGCTGAAGCTTGTGCCTGATTGCACAAGACAGGACCACAGCAGAACATCCGGATTCCTCTCTCTCTGCTGAGTGGCCGGTCTTCGGAGTAAAGAATGCTGCCCCTGACAATTGGAAACCTTCTCGACCCCAGGCGGTCGGTCATGTCAACAGAGCAGCTCTACACAGTGCCACAATCAATAGAAACAAATCCTACATTTGAAAGCCAAAGCCGCAGCAGATGGTACTCTCTGATGGAAACCCGTCACTGAAAACATCTGCCACTGCACCTATTGTGTACAAACAGCTTGCAGAGAAATACCAAGGTCCCCTCTGCTATGAACTCAGATAAAAAAGACATCAGAGAAACTCTCTCTCTCTCTCTCTCTCTCTCTCTCTCTCTCTCTCCGTGTGTGTCTGTGTGTGTGTACTATGCTCAGTGCGTGTGTGTGTGTGTGTGTGTGTGTGTGTGTGTGTGTGTGTGTGTGTGTGTGTGTGTGTACTCTGTGTGTGTGCGTGTGTGTATGGAGGCGCGAGGGTGTGGGCGCATAGATGTCAGTAAAAGTAGAATTGCAGTGTAGTGGTGAGCAGAAATGGTGACTTTGTGGATTGCGTACAGCCTCGGGGGGATTCGGAATGGCTATATCCCTGTGAGGCTGTGAGTGAAAAATAAGAAAAGAGAAAACAGACGCTACCGGTAGCAGCGAGACAAGGAGGTGAAAATGAGGGGGTTCAGTCAAGTGCACATGCATCGGCACTTCAGTAGCTTAGCATAAGCCCTGCTTCAATTTCCCTCTCCTATGCTTTCTATGAAACACATGATCGACACTGTTCCTTCCAGTCATCAAAGCAGACAGTGTAGTCTCTAAGAAAAAGAACCACAAAAAACAGTGTGGTCTCTAAGTAGAAGAACCACAAAAAATCCAAGGGGAAAAATTGTTCAAAAGGGAGGCGCAGCTCCTTGCATCTCTACTCTTTAGAGGTTGCAAACAACATTTAATGTTTCCAAAAAGAAGTGTCCGATCTCTCCACCGTCTCCGGATACAAAGCAGGTGCTTTGGAATATTGAATTATTGTGGCAGCCATCGCATGGAGCCTGCTCCTTTAGAGAGTTTAGCCTTGGTGGGAATCGCAAAGGGGAAGAAAGGTCTGTCTGTGTTCACCCTATTCCGATTCTGGCAGCATTACTCACATCAGGAGTTTTCGACCGAATGGGGCCGTAATTATGGACATGCATCCAAAAAAAATCCGCAATACCAATATGACCTGTGCGTTTCAAAAAACCGTGGCCACCAAATCCCAATCTCTTACAGTGAAGGGTTTGTGAACTGAGGAAAGGAGCAGCTAACACCGTTGTTGGAGCTCTCACCACCATACAGCCCGCAAAAGAGAGTCTCATTTTTGACCGGAGCTGGCTGTAATTCAGGGAGAAATGCATCCAGGAACGTCCGCAATATGAATAGTTTCGAAACAGACTCCACTCTCTTCCGTGATTAAATGCGATCACAAATAGGGGACCAAACCAAGCACCGTCGTCCCAGCGTACCGTCGGCAAAAGATAGACTCGTCGCAGCAAATCTCAGGCCAATGCTGTTCACAAGAGAAGACTCGTCGACAGCAAATCTGAGGCCAATGCTGTTCACAAGAGAAGACTCGTCGACAGCAAATCTGAGGCCAATGCTGTTCACAAGAGAGATTCTGCAAAAGTAGACCCTCGAGTCATTCTGCGATTCTGAGAAGGATGCTGGCTAGAGGACACACGGTTGTCGTTTTCCCCGACTTTCAGTGCCGTCTTCAGTAGAGCAGCACCACTGTCACCATACCTGGACCCCTCCCTGGACCCATCTTCCCCATACCTGGACCCATCCCTGGACCTATCTTCCCCATACCTGGACCCATCCCTGGACCCATCTTCCCCATACCTGGANCCTGGACCCATCCCTGGACCCATCTTCCCCATACCTGGACCCATCCCTGGACCCATCTTCCCCATACCTGGACCCATCCCTGGACCCATCACACCACCGTACTCTCGCTCACTTGCCTTCCTGGACCCAACACAACCTGGATGCCCGCTCTGCTCTTTCTTCGTAAGAGCAATGCACCCAGCCAACAAGACGTAAATGACGTATTCAACGCCGTTCAAGATACTCGTAGTGAAGAACTCGGCGTGAAGACTCAAGCCCGTTGTGAAAGGGGATCACTGGTCATAGCTAGCCCTCGGTTGGACCCCGACCGTGTGCCTCTATCCAAGTGCACGTCAGAAGCGATCACCACCCGTACCCGTCTTCCCTCAGCCACTCTGCAGGTACAGCCAGACTACGCTCCCTCGGCCTGCAAGAAAGGAGTCATAAGGTAGATAAAACAATTGGAAGGTAGACTCGACGGCTGTCCCTACACTTACGTGTCCACCCTAAAAGTCTGCAGGTCCAGTACGATGAGCATGAGCACCCCCCCAGCCGCCAAGGAGGGAACGATATGGCGAATGGATGGCCGATAGTACTGCCGCTAAAAGCATTTCCAAGGCTAAGGTTGAGGGTTCAAATCCCTTTCGTATACTTTATGGTGGGTAACCCAGTTGGGAGACTCGGATGGGAATCGGCAATCCACTTGCTTGCGTACTCGGCAATCATCCCGATAGCGACCAGGTACTCCGTACTTGTGCCCTTTCGCTCCTTTCTTGTCACCATGCTTACGATTATTCGAGGAAGGTACCGACTGGCACCAGTTTCAAACCAGTAACTCGACGAGCTAAAGGCTCCCACGGGCCGGCTTTTCTCGGGTTTCTTATCAGCTCCTCCAGGCTCTCCCATTTCGTGGCCTTCGAATATCGACGAACATACAATGGGAAAAGTCAAATTGTACGCATTCAACGAGCAGGTGGTCACAGGTACTCGTTCTGTCTCGTTTTCCCCTTTTCTTCCACCCTTACCTCCCACCCTCCACCGCCCTCCCCTTCTTGTTCTCATGCTTCCGATTATTCCAGGAAGGTACTGACTCAGTCTGACCGGCACCCGTTTCGAAACCAATTGGTCACAGGTACTCATTCTGTCTCGTTTGCCCTTTACTTGCGCACCCTTACCTCCCTCCCTCCACCGCTCCCTTCTCCGCAGATGCGATGTGCAGGCGCACTCTTCAGGCATGGAGGGAAAGTAACTACACAGAAGATAAAACCAATTTATCGATTTGGAATTTCAGATTGACATCGAAATCGAAATCCCTGTCACCCAACTACTAGCCCTGTGTGCCTGCTCTCCTTTCCCGCCCC